TCTTCAGATACAATAATTCTTTAGTTAAATCATAAAAAAAAAGAAATTGATAAAAATCGGTAAAGATTTTGCACACTTTACTGATTTAAAAAAAAAAAAAAAAAAGTATTTTTTTTTTTTTAACACATTGTTCTAAAATTAAACGCCTTGGGCAATAACGTTGGAAAACAAAATTTTTGTATGCTTTTTGTTTTGTTTAAACCGAGTGATTGAGCGAAACCTCTTAGTCGCTGATTCCATTGATTTTAACGTAACGCCGTTTATCGGATAAACGTGCTCACGATGTATTTTAATTGATTTAACTACTTCGGCCACCGGGCTTCCTTGTTTCTATACTCAAACTCTCTTTCAATTCGAATACCCATTCAACATTCGAACGGCAAATTTTTTGAGGTACGAGAATTGTGATGCGCGCGCGCGCGTGTGTACACCCACACCAAAAGCGATGCTTGAAAAATAAGGTATACGGGAGTGAGCTTTATAGTCTCACGTCTCAAGAAGCACCTTAGCCACCACAAACCTTTTACCCTCCGTTTTGTTTTGTATTTTTTTTTCCCCCTTCCATCGATTCGTGGTCAATAAAAAAAGTTTGGCTATCGTGCTAATATTTGCCCATTTGATTGGAGTTAATAAAACCGACGGTTCTCGCTGGTTGGATAAAAAACATACTCGACCACTTGTAACAAAATCGTTACATTATGCCCACGCTTTCGATCAACGGAATGTTACATATAGCGCACCTCGTAAATCGGCTATTATTCCATCGTACTTACTTACCTTCTGTATAGCCGTTTATATGGACACAACAATGCGATTATATATAGGTAAAACTCACCTCTGGAGGATAGCTTTTTGGTATTGATGATTTTGGCGGCGAACTCGAGGTTTGTGCTTTTTTGCACGCATCGTCTGACCACGGAGAAGGCGCCCCTGCAAAGAACGAATCATCCTTACAAAGCACTGCCAATTGAATTTTTGCGAAGTCTATCGGTTACTTGCGAGCGGCTACATTTGAATGATTAAATTTTTTCACGCCACAAAATACAACTTTGATGTATACGGGTAAAAGTAATTTACAGAGAAATAGAGTAGGAAAGAGATAGTACGAGTAGCTTTAGAGGTAGGGGGGGGGGGAATAAATTTACCATTGCAGTATTGGCTGACGTACATAGTGTTGGTTGTCATTCCGGGAAGAACGTGGATCGGATGCAGTTATCTGCGGGATAAGGGTATAGGCGCGTGCAAAAAAAAAAAAAAAAAAAAAAGAAAGAAAAACGAGCGGCTTGGCAGAAGGTCAAAGCGACCTGAATCCGCGCGGTCCAGTGCTCCAACGGTAGGAGTCACTCCCGAGAGATACTCTCGCCACGTGCATTATGTAGATCTCCCCTTAGACCGGGGCAAGGCCTCGACACCCATTCCCACGCTATTATTATTATCATCATTATTTTTATTATTATTTGCCTTGCTCTTTCCGTCCCCTCTTTTATTTAGGCTCGCGTGTCTCCGATAGTAATAATAATAATTACAGGAGTGACAAAGAAAAGTTTTTATTTTGAATTTAAAATCAAAAACAATCGGTACTCAATCGAAAGTTTATATTAAACGCGTATAGTGGTACTTACCATACCATGCCTGTGTGTCACCTTGTACCTCTATCGCCAATCCAAAATCTGCCAACTTAACAGCCGCTCCCTTTGCCTTACTTGCCAAAAGGAGATTTTCGGGCTACAATGGTAATATATATCGTTTTAATTTCCAAGAATTTCAAGTGGTTCGCGCAGTATTGGTTTATTTCTGGGCATAATAAATATTGATAAAATACCTTGAGATCTCTGTGCACAACGCCATTGTGGTGGCAGTGATGAACACTTTCCAAGATTTGTTGGATACAATGAGAAGCATCGGCTTCACTGTAAAATTCTCGCGCGACAATGTCCTCGAAAAGCTCGCCACCGGTAACTCTGAAAATTTTTTTATTTATAGCAAATGTCAATATTCAATGACTCCGAAGCAAAGTAAGAGTGTGAAAAAAATCTGACCACAAACACTTACAAGTCGAATACGAGGTAGTGAAAATTTTCCTCCTGTATACTGTCATGTAGTCTTACTAAAAAAAAAAAAAAATGATAATAACAATAATATTAAAAGCCCAATACGATCTATTAATATAAGCCGTGTAGTGTATGTGAACTAAATAATGAAAAAAAATTACTAGATATATATTTAAATTGATTTATCGCACGTGAGTACTATTTGAAAAATCGTATTTGATGATGAAGAAATCCAGATTTTTTTTTTATGTATCAATCAAAATAACTGTTTAAATCAAACTTCAAAGATATATACCAATATTTGGGTGTTGAAGTTTCCTGCATATTCTTGCTTCTCGCTCCAGCTTTTGAAAATCTGAAAAAAAAAATTTTTTTGGCGTAACATTGACTTGTCCTCTAACGCGTTATTTAAAACTTACTTTTATTTTTCGTAAAGTTGTATATTTAAAGGTACGTAATGACGTATACTGTAGCGACGAGAAAAGACTAAACGACGAAATTTCAATTGAACGGAATAATAGGAGCAATAGGTATCAGACGCGCGCGTCATCGTTGCTGGGTCAAGAGGTCAGTGGAACAAGGTCTCATCCCTTAACTGAGTATAAATTTTGCGCACCTCCGAAATAAATACCTACGTAAACGCTTAGCAATCTGGTTGACGTTGTTTTACACTCAAGCTCAAGCTATTGTCCAATCTGATTACTTTGAAAGAAAAAAAAAAAAAAAAAGTATTTTTTTTTTTTTAACACATTGTTCTAAAATTAAACGCCTTGGGCAATAACGTTGGAAAACAAAATTTTTGTATGCTTTTTGTTTTGTTTAAACCGAGTGATTGAGCGAAAATATATATATATGTATTTATTTAAGGACATCCGTCGCAGCAGCCATAGTGTGCACGCGAGTGGACCGTTATAGGTACAAGTTAAGTAAAGTATAGTACTAACAAAATAGCGTAGGTAGAGAATAAAAATAAGGTGAAATTTTAATAAATGAGTAGCTAAGAGAAAGAATAAAAAGTAAAAGTACTGTTGGACAAAGGAAAAAGAAAAGGTGAAAAGTAAACGTGAAATTCGAGGTTAGTCGAGACATAAGAAAAAAGAATGTTAAAACAAAAAGCATAGTCGTCATACTCGTCACCAATAACACCATCCTAGAAGGGTGCCGAATAATATTAAGTAAGGAGGAGTGTAAGAAATGGCTGTACCAACGGCGGAGCGAGAAAGATACAAAGAGTTGCTTTGACGGACGAATGAACATGAAAAAGAAATAACTAGTGCAGTGGAAAAGCACATCAGGTAGCAACAGCGCATCAAAAAAAAGAAGCGAGACAGGAGAGAAAAGATCACGTGGTAATTAGAAGTTGGAAATTCTGGGAAAAGAAGTTATAAAAAGTTGAATGCTACCTGAGAAAAAATTAAAAAGTGAGTGTTTTAATGGTATCGGTAGTACTAGCCGAAAAGAAATAAAAAGAAAAACCGGGAATATTGTAGTTGTAAAGTTACAAGAGAAAAAAGCAGAGGAAATGAAAAGAAATAATATACTCAAAAGATGAGTATCCATAGAGAACGACATGACTTGGCAGGTAAGGAAAATCTAAAAGAAGGTAATCATACAGGCTAGGACATAGCAAAAAAATAAAAAACAGAGTAAATACTAATTGCAAATTATAAAGTGAGTAAAGATGTAAGAAATATCAACTGCCTAATTTAAAGGACGCCAAAAATTTATTTAAAATAATGCTGGATCCAAGTAAAGGTATAATCTTATGTCGGTATAAAAAGGGTAGATGTTAATTAATCGAAGACCTTGTAAAAATCCTGAATTGGATTGAGTAGTAAACAAAATAATAATACCAAATACCAATATACGAATTTCAGCAGTCACTCTGTTTGAGTAAGTTTGTATCAATAAATGATAATGAAATAAAAATTTATTTAATCAGTATTTCATTGCTGATGAATAACGTTTTTTAATATTTTCGATGTTGTAGTAAGGTAACTTTTAGGAATTCAAATAATATATACAAACAGTTACCTTCAATTTGCGCCTGGCATTGAATTTCTTCAAGCAGTCGACAGTCTCTTGTCTGTGAACCACGGAAGCAACTCGTTCTCGTTGCTGAAAAAAAAAAAAAAGAAGAAACAGGTCAAAATCGTGTTTACGAATCGCAGTAAGACAATACTATTGAGACAAATTCTTACGCAGATCCATGGGTGTTTTAAAGCTTCACTAGCAGTGATTCTCTTGCTGGGGTTTACTGTCAGCATCTGATTGATCAAATTTTTCGCCTCTGGCGTGACTGTATCCCATTCTGGTGTCGGGTACTGAAAAATATCAAATTATTGTTTAAAATAGATAAATTCTGTTTTGTACTGTTCTACGATTCAGCGAAATGGATTTTTATTTTTTGATCACTTTCAATTAATCGCCGTATAGGTAATATGAATAAAAGAAAAACAATCAAACTCACGTCATAAGAGCCAGATTTTATTTGTGCATATAACCGGTGCTGATCCTCATCCCAGAATGGTGGATATCCAACTAACAAGATGTACAAAATAACTCCACAGGCCCATATATCAACGGGTTTCCCGTAAGGTTCCTTTTTCAAAACTTCAGGGCTCAGGTAACCAGGCGTTCCCGCAAAACCTAAATAATAATAATTTAAGTTTTTTTCAAGCACAAAAATATTTAAAATATATATGTTATACCTCCGGCCCGTTCACTAAATAAAGGTAATGAAAATTATACAGCATTACAGTCATAATATTACAGTTACTGAATTATTATTTACTTCACTAAATGCAACATACGTTTTATTGTTTTACAATAAAGCAAAGACAAAATTACGGTTAACACCTGAGATTTCAAATACATAGATAAAAGACACTCAACAAGATTTTCATAACTGGAAATTACAATATCACAATGCAAACTTGTTGAGATAAAGTTTCAATATTTATTTACTGATTGATCGAAATTATCTTAAGTAATCAAGCAACTTGAACTAAGTAAGCAGATTAAATTTTTTTTCAAGATTATTTTTTTAATTGAAAGCAAATGTTTATTGAAAATAAATTCAAACATATTGAAAAACTGTTTTTTACGNGATACTCTCGCCACGTGCATTATGTAGATCTCCCCTTAGACCGGGGCAAGGCCTCGACACCCATTCCCACGCTATTATTATTATCATCATTATTTTTATTATTATTTGCCTTGCTCTTTCCGTCCCCTCTTTTATTTAGGCTCGCGTGTCTCCGACACCACCACGTTTATGTATCACCTGCACGTACATATGGATACATATACGTATGTGTTTGTCATCGCTCTCAAACTTTACTTTTTTTAATCTTATCGCTAGACGCAGCGTCAAACCGCATTCCCCCCATTATCAAAACAGTTTTGATGATTTGTCGCGTCGTACGAAGGGAATAACGTTACATTACCGAATGAGTTACGGAAAGCAATTAAAAAATAGCGCGAAGACAAAGAACCTCAGAATTTTTTAAAGGGGACGCGTGGCGTTTGGGGAATTTGTAATGGCTCGTTCGAGCAAATTTATACAAATTTATTCCAACGCGTGCTTGTTATGCTTCTTTTTTTTTTTTTTTTTTTTTTCACCCACAAAAATTGCTGTGTATAAAAACAACGTACGCTTTCAATTCGATGACTTTTTTTTTTGTTTCTTTCTTTTTGCTGCTGCTCCCAAGTGCTTGAATCGAAAATAAATGAACGAAAAACAGGTGGTGGAAGAATAAATGAAGAATATGCGAAAACAGTTTGCCAATGACGGATGACACGTATATTTAAATTAAAATCCTTCTAGCGATGGTCCATTAAACTCGATTTCGATAACAAAGATGACGACTCCAGTTGTTATTCGAAAAAAAAAAAAAAAAAAAAAAAATAGTAAAGATGAATAATGGTTTCTCGAAAAAATGGTACACGATAAATGTAAAAAATGCACGTAAAATTGCAGTCAACCAATGTATAATGTACGTACAGCCAACGTCGCGTCGCAAGAAACGTCGCGAACGTGACCGCGCGAGCATTTTTCAACGCCACCTGTACAAATAAAATGAAGAAAAAAAAAAAAAAAAAAAAAGCGTTCGAATTAGCCTTACTTTTGTCCAGTGGCCCGATACGATATGATAAATGCACGAAGCAGCTCACGCGCAGGGACACGGCGTACGTGATGTGTATTGTACGTGCACACCTATACGTGTGTGACCTACGTCTCCTAAAGTCCCGGCACGTGTTATGCATGTTACCACTGACAAATAAATCGATTCTTTTGGTTACAGTATATTATATGTATATTTATGTACCCGTACTAATATTCCACATATAACCTGACACGCTCGTTAAAGTCCGAGTCTGGCTTCCGGAGGCTAATATTTTTTTCTTCTTTTTTTTTCTAACGCCAACAAATTATCATATCTCTGATTTCGTATAATTTTCCTTCGTATCTAACGCTTCTTCCGTTCCTCGGTTTATTTTTTCCATCTCGTATTTCGCTTTGCTTCGAATTACAGTTTTCACATACTATACCCCACGTGTTGCGATAAAATAATGAAATTTAAAATGGTAAAACAAACCTGCGAGGGTATAAAATCAGCCGGATGTATACATGTATGTATATATATAAACGAGCGCGTTGAAAAAACTATCCGTAAAATTGAGCAAGAGAGTCGTAAAATTAGATCGATCTATGTACCCTAGATATGTCAAAGATGTTTTGGGGCGAAGCAAGAGCTTTTTCGTGGGCTAAGTATGTATAACGTGATGTATATGTATATATATATATAGAAAGCAAGCTGGTAGGTACAAAAGCGAGCTATTTGAGCAGTTAATCACCGAGACGAGCGAATCGACCGTGGGGTAGGTACATATATATATGTATATATAGGAAGGCAGAGGACGAGAAAGGAAGTAGTAGCAGGAAATTAAAATCGGTCGCGTAAATGTAATCTGCGTCCAATTGATGTATAGGAGAGACTTCATCGATCGACAACATATTTCTCTCTGTATACACGTATATATAAATATATATATATATATATATATATATGTATATGTATATACCTCATCCACCATCAGTAGTGCGGATGAAGCTTTCATCGGCCGAGAAATAATAAGGAGTGTTTCTTGGGGGAGTAACAAGGCTGTGGGGGAGGAGAGGGAGAAAAAGTACGTAGTCACCGAAAGGAAGAAAATCCGTGAAACGAGAAGTTGGTGTGGCGTAGGGGGTGAAGGAAGGAGGTAGAGGAGGAGGGAAAAAAGTGTGGCATCATCGGAAGCGGAAAAAGAGCGATGGGGGATACGGAGAGGAAAAAGCTTGTCGATGAGGGGAAACAAGGGAAAAAAGAAAGGACAAACAACGGGGTATGATATACGTATAGGCGAGGTGCGTGTATAACAATGTACAGGGGTTATCGGGCGATGGGTGTGCGACGAGGAGGGGTTGGGTTTTAAGGTGGCTTGCAAGCACACTGTCAAAAAGTCGAAAGGTTTTTCCAGCTGCCGCATCATCTCGCCGTGCACGAGCGCGAGTAGGTAGGTAGGTAGGTAGGTTGATATCGATTCGACGCACGTAACGAAGAGAATAAGAGCTGCGGCGCCGGCTTGACACAGAGAGAGAGAGAGAGACCTGCATGCCTATCTCTACACTCTGCAGTAGCTATATATATATATATATTCCATTGGGTATACCTAGGTATCTCCGTACCGCGAGGAAACACGAGACCCGAGAGCTATACACATGTAGGGTACACCCAATACAGAGCATTTATGTACACCAGTGCCGGACTCGTCGCCTAGCCGCCGCTGCCGTCGGGGTTGCCGTACCAGTCCTCTTCGTATCTCTCTCTTGCTCCCACCCCCCTTTGCTCCTCTCCTCGACTCCCCCGTGCACGCCCGCATATGTAGATAGAGAGAGAGCGCCTCCGGTGCTTTTAAATATAGAGTGGAGGCCAGGCCACTAGCACACGCTTTAAATATAGAGTTGCCAAGTGCAACTGTTTACTTATTTTTTTTCTTCTTTTTCTTTTTCCGTTTAAACCCCCCCCCCTCACCCTCCCCCGATTTTCTTGCTCTTTCGACTTTTTCCCCGCGCATCGTCGAGTACGGACAAGACGGCTCCGGGGAGGGTTTGAAGCCCGCACTCGTGGGCCACCCCCTGCGAGAGAGCCGAGGAGCGTAGGTAGACAGGAGCGAGCACAAATGGCCGACGAGCGTATAACAGCGAGGAGTCAAGGAGCGCTGCCACGCATACCTGCCCTACGTATATACATATTATACACGTCACCCGACGAGGTCACAACCCAATAACCCTTAGAAAACCCTATCTCGAGTGTGCCCGCTTATACCGCAACGGGGATGACGCAAGTATGGTGGGAGCGACGGGGTGGTGCGTGCGCGTGTAATGGCTATGGGTCGCATGAAAAAAAAAAAAAAAAAAAAAAAGTCCGAGTGGTCATCCCCTTTCCGGTGGTCGAGTCGTTGTTACGGGCTCGGGGTCGCGGAGCTTGCAAGCTCGTGGCGCGGCAGGACTCGCGGCGCGCCGAGTTTATAAATAGAGAGAGAGAGAGAGAGAGAGAGAGAAAAAGTAGTACGGACAACCGAGTGGATGACAATAAGTAGGTATGGGGTAAGTCGGCACCATGGGGTACTCTGTGGGGGAGAGGGTATCGTTGGTGGTTCAACTTACTTGCCGAGCTCCTCCTTGAGATCGTAGTTGTCGCTAAAGCGCGTGCAAGTAGCCGGGCTGGCCATGCCGTCGCCGCCGAGCAGCTACTGACTTTTACTACTACCGCCACCACCACCACTACTATGCCACCACTACCACCAACCAACCACCAGCGCTGGGGCCGAAGCTGCAGGGAACTATGGTGAGAAGAAACGCGGGGGAGCACCGAGCTTTTCGGAGCTGCTGTACTACCAAATACCTCCCTTCCTCTTATAATTCGACTGTTCTTGCGCTTCTCGTGCTTTGCACTCGATGCTTCACTTTACCGACTGACTGACTGACTGACTGACTACGGGGGCACTCACGAACCGAGTCCATCTACTCAACAGCACACCCCCCGCTCGACACTCGATACTCCTTCTTTTCCCTCCCGCGAAAGACAATCTGCCGGCTTCGCTTAGCAGCACTTCAGCACCGTATCCATTATTATTATTATTGTGTGTGTACATCCGCGCGATAAACCGTCGTGCTGTACCGCAGGCGCGGCTGTATTATTCGCTGATGATGAGCCTCTCTTTCCGTCTCTGGAGCTTCGCCTCGCTCAAAGGCCACCGTTTTCGTAGAACCTTTACGCTTGTGTATATATATATAATACAAGTATATATGTATGTATATGTGTACACCTAGTTTTCATACGTATAATATGTACATACAGTATACGCCTATGCGTGTATAAAACGGGACATGCCACCGATGCCTGCACGACGGGACACTATAAGCGTATTTAAATGTTCGAGTACGGCAGCACACAAGGAGAGAAAAAAACCAAACGCTGCCGCCGCTTCGGAGTTGCAGACACTGACGGGTAGCACCAGCAGCAGCAACCGTACGGCGGTACCAACGAGTACTATAACTATGATGAATATATACAAGAGAGCAGCCTCCACTACCGCCACCACCGCGACGAGCGACCACCCACCTATACGTATATATATATAGCTGTTCACCACCACCACCACTTTGACCGCACCACCACTAGCAGCACTTTAAAGCTCGATCAATAAGCGCGCAAGCTGCAAAAGGGGAGGCTTCGTTGGAACAGGTTACACACACGCATGTGTATATTTATACACCTATATAGTATCGACCTACATATATATAGATTGATGGGAATATAATAATACACTGCTTCGCTAGCGGGCGGGGCCTCGACTGACTCGCGTAGTCATCGACGGACTATCTCCTCTGCTGCTGATGCTGATTCTCTCTCTCTCTCTCTCTCTTTCTCGTTCTGTTTCTCTACATCTCCCACGAACCGCTGCCGACGTCACCGCCCGCACTATCGCGCAAAGCTCTCCCGCCAGAGTACAGGTCAGCCCCAACATAGTCATACCCATCCCATGTTTTACGTGTCAGCGTGTATATATATATATATATATATATATATATATATATATATATACGTATATGTTTGTTGCGCACAGTGTTTGATCGTCGTCGTGTGTGTGTGAACTCCCCTCTTCTGGCCTATTGCGTGGGTTATCGTCCTCTTTCTTTCGCACTCCTCCTCCTTATCGTTATTTAGCTTCTTTGACCACTCGGCAAGCATTATATTCATTTGCGATGCCAGTGAGCTGCAAAACCTCTCTCTTTGCCACTCAACTTACTTACAGGTCATTTGTTTATTACTTATGCGGACGATTACCCGTCAATTGGGCAGCCGATTGGGTAAACCATGCACTGCACGCATTACTTACTTATGCGTGTTATTGAAAAAGCTCGCCTCGGTATGGTATGTATATATACATCCCGAAGCTTGCACTGGTTGGTGTCTGACAGGGCTCGTACCTTTACTACTTAAATACTCGTTTCATAAGGTACGATCCTCTTTTCATTATAACACCACCACTCGATACAACGCTTCCTTTGTATAATTATTCCTCCTCCGTCCCCCCACTATCGACTAACATTGCATCGTTGCGCTTTTTACTTTTGTTTTTTATTTTATCAACATTATCGGTTTTTACACTCTTGTTCCTTTCATCCCCGCCTTCCTGTGGAGCGTTTTTACTTTTGTAGAGCAACAACAACAACTCGTCGATACATTTTTTTTTAAATAAATATAAACTTTTCAAAGAAGTGTTGTAATTATCAGCATTGCGAAGGGATTTATATTTATCAATATTTTGTCGTTTAGTTCAATGGTGTTTTACATAATTTTTTTGGAGGGTGAGAATTAAAACTACCGAAGGATTCATTACGACATTTATTCTGTAAAAAATGTATAATATAAACACTCAAGTGTGCATTACATGTCTATTTACAATTTCTAAAAAAAAAACAAAAATTTTTAAATATAACGCTAATTGACAGTTGTATCCATCTAAGGGTACAAGTTATTTTTAAGTTTCTAGTATCGAAAGGGAATGGATCTTTGAAAAAAAGATCGTTTTTTTTTTTTTTTGTTTATTATTATTAATAAACGCCTTTATCGCAGAAAAAACCAAGGTTCTTTTTTTTACAAAAGCTTATATGTGTAAGGAATGAACAAAAAATGCACGACGTTGATAAAAATAATAGTAATAACATAGTGTCTGTACGCTAACATATACACCTTTACGAATGAAAATCACTTACGAAAAATGAAAGTTACTTTTTTTATAAAAATTCTTGTATAATTTAACTGAAAATAATAATAATAATAATAATAATAATAAAGCATCTTACTCCATATAGATCTAAGAAATATTGTAAAAAATGTGTCGTTTGAATGTTTGTAAACTCTACATCTGAACTGCAGCTTCCGATCAAAAATTTTATTTACAAAAAAGAGCACCGAGAGCTGTGACCTTTTTAGCAAACTATGGAAAAGAAAAAAAAAAAAAAATGAAATCCGCACCATTTGCATTTTTACTCAACGGTGACGGATTTCGCTAGATTCCGCGGACAATCGACGTTGCAACCACGAAGCACGGCTATGTGGAAGGAGAGCAGTTGCATGGGGATGACGGTTAAAATGCCTTGGAGGCAGTCCACGGTTTTCGGGACTTCCAGGACTTTGGCGGAGAAAGACTTGGTCTCGTCGTCCCCCTCCTCGCAAATGACGATTGGCCGGCCATCGCGAGCCGTGACTTGTTGAAGAGCGTTCATGCATTTCTGGAATCGTAGTAAGATCAAAGTTAATTATCGGCAAAACAAACAAAGTTGCCTTGATATAAAATAGCTGGACCACGTGGGTGCATACGTACAACGTAAACGGGGTCCCTCATGACGATCATAATGACGGGCATCGAGTCGTCGACGAGGGCCAATGGTCCGTGCTTCAGTTCACCTGCCATGATCCCTTCGCTGTGCATGTAAGTCAACTCCTTGACTTTCTGCAAGTCCATGGGTAAAAAATGGATCGAGTAAAAAATGGCATACATTCATTTATTATTCCATTTATACTTACGAGAGCTCCCTCCATGCAAGTGGCGAAATTGTATCCTCTGCCCATTATCAGGAGAGATTTGTGTTGGAACAGCGACTTGGCTAATTCTTTGACTTTGTCATCGAGCTTCAAGACTTGGCGAATTTGATTGTCAAGGTTCTCAAGGCCTTTGATTATCTGTTTTTAAACCAGACAAGTGTTACCTTTTTTTTCATATTTCGTATGGTTTTTAAGTCTCTATAGTTTTTAACTTTATACTATATGTATATTCTGCATTGATTGTTAAAAGAGGTGGGGTGTGAGTAAAAAGATTATCCGTTTTTTTTTTTTTTAGAGCACAAGGACCAACTTTTGGTAGAAAGAAGCGTGTGGCACAAAAAGTTGGATCCCTCCGAGAATAGCAAAATAAGTTGACTTTGCAATTAGGTGTATGTTACTCAGCACATTCGAAAGATAAATTTCTTTCGCGTGACAGCAATTTGTGTAAAATCGAAAGATTAATTTCATTCAATCGGATGGTCTCCGGTTGGCAAAAAAATTCGTAACCGTTTGAACGGTCGAAAGTTACGAACCTCCAAACGCCTGTTTCTCAGGGATATTCTGTCCTCGCTCATGACCAGCGCAAACATGACTAGGGATATGAACTGCGACGTGTAGGCCTTGGTACTGGCGACACCAATTTCCGGACCGGCGTTTATGTGCACCCCGCAATGCGACTCGCGACAAATGCTACTGCCCACGGTGTTTGTTATCCCCACGATTAAGGCCCCTCGGCCCTTACAGTATCTAAGTGCCATCTGGGTATCCGCCGTCTCTCCTGAAAACGATGAACATTCGGGTTCTCGCATAATATACGCACATGTACGGTGGATGGTTCATATATATATATATTGTATATGTACCTGATTGAGAAATGAAGAAGCAAACGTCGTCGCGGAACACCGGGGTGTTTCTGTCGAGGAAGTCCGAGGCCAGCTCGACCATGACCGGTAACTCGGTGAGCTCTTCCAGCAGCTGTCTCGTCGCGATGGCCGAGTGGTAACTCGTCCCGCAGCCAATGAGCATCAGCCGCCTGCATCTCTTGATCTCCGGAATGTAATCCTATACGGGGGGGGGGGAAATTATAATTGCTTGTATTGTAATAATCAACGTGTGGGTAAAATCAAAAGGAAACAAACGAGTATATACCTTGATGCCACCGAGGATGACGGATTTGTCGGTAAAGTTGAGCCGGCCCCTCATGGTGTTGACCACCGACTCGGGCTGCTCGAATATCTCCTTCTGCATGAAGTACTCGTAGTTGCCCTTCATTATCTGCTGGATTTCCATCTTGAGGGTGTGGATCTCGCGAGCGTGGGCGTCATCGTTGCAACGCCTCAGCCTGTGGATGCTCAGGGCCCCGTCCTTGACCGCAGCCACGTCGTCGTCCTGTGCGCAATTAAGGTTGAAGCCACGATTCTTTGGTATATATGTATATACACATTGGGAAGGTTTGGGGTGAAAATAGTATAATCACCTCGAGGAAGATGACCCGGTTGGTGTGCTCGATCACGGCACTGGCGTCGGACGCGAAAAAGTACTCGACCTCCTTGTCCTCGAGCGGCTGGAACTCGGAGGTGCTCTCGCTGCGGGGTATTATCGGGTACTCCCCGTTGCGCCGGTGCGGGCGATGATCTGCGCGAGTACCGTAACGATTAAACTCATTGTCAACGTGGAACATCAGCGTTTGCCCGCCCTGGCGCTATATCGCGGGTATTTTTTTTTTTTTTTTTTAGGTTGGCCATCAATAGCAGATCTCGTGAGTAGATACAGGGAAGATGGGCATTTTTGTCCCAGCAGGGTACACCATATTTTTTTTTTTTTTTTTTTCGTGGCTCGCGTGTCAACAGCAACAGCGGGGAATCACAATAATATTGTAACATCGATGCTATCTATAGCTTTCGCACATTAATAAATGTTTATATATACGCGTGACAAATTGCTGGGTCTTTGAGTATATGTTGTAGGGAGGACAAACCTGTTTCTTTTTCTTTCTTTTCTACCTTAGCACCCGTGAGGACATTTCAAAATTCAATTAATTCAATTTGAGCAGTATAGAGTGCCAAGGAATCACTGCAATATATTCATCGTCGTTGCGGCTGTGCCTCTACGTTGGCCACTCGTTTCGACATTATATTTCTTACCATTTACTTGTTACGATGCTATTGCATGTAAAATTGAGATGAACACCAAATAGTGTGTATGTGTATATATATATATTCGAATAATACAAGCTGTTGCTGCTGCCGCGGGCACTACATTATCATATACCTAATGTTATAATACATTAATATATTCAACCATCACCAAGTGAGTACTTGTACAGTACTTGCTGCAGGGACATATTATTATCCACGAGTGTTACATTACGCGAGGAGAGAGCGTCATTATGAGAAGCGTCTGTCGAAATTCAGGGAGATGGAGGAAAAACCAAAAGTGGGAAAAAAGCATACCGAGACAGCTAATTTCGAATTACGTGAGCCCATGGCCTCTGCATCACTTATACTTTTATTCACAGATGTTAACGCGTACGTTTCGTATTTTTCAACCCAAACTGAAGCTCAATCAAACGAATACTTATATCCTAGAATTGTGGCGCTTAGTACATCACGTACAGGTATATAATATATATATACTGTACACCGAGTTGGTTATAGCACCTATTACCATTAGTCCGCAGTTCTATTCATATTGGATTATTATTTGACCACTATACTGTTTCGAAACGATTCGAATTATTAGTACATGTTTGTTCTTTTAGCGCGTATACCTACTTGTCGTCATTATTCATGTATGGTTAATAAATGCCATCATACACCCTCACAGCTAAAAATCTGATGGTATAGTTGTATGTAAGTTTATGTTGTGCGATCGGTACAAGTTGTTTGATTATAGATTTCATGCAAATGGAACAGTTAAAAATAGTAGCAAAAAAAAAAAAAAAAAAAACCATCAAGCCGAAAGAAATTATTTAATATAACATGCAGCGCATACTCGTAAGCGAAAAAAACTTGTAATGTAAGGTAATACCTTGAGATGCTGGTTCGGTTTCTGCAATCATCGGGATAGAGGATCAAGTAAACAAAAAACAGCGAAAAACACACATCATATTAAACAAACTATGCTTATAAAGTAGCCTAATGTAGGTATCAATGTGGCAACGTGATAATCATATTGTAAATGAATGAAAACTAAAAGCGAAGTCATGAATCGGTGCATCGAGCGAGTTTTCGTTTCAATACTTTTACAGCCACCTGAATTATTATAATCATAGGGTGGTAAGAAAAATCCATCCCAATGCACTGGTTTGCTAATGCGGTAATTTACATTTACATCGATAATTATGATGAAGATAATAATGCATAAAGAAATAAGCTCCGTTGATCCGTCAGTGAGTTGTTGTCTGCCCTTGTGTTCAATACCTGTATCTCATGCACTTAGTTGCAAAGAAAGAAAAAAAATCGAAATGAAAACTAATGTACAAAATAAATGGAAAATTTTGCAAAATGTGACAAGCAGCGCATTTCTAGTATTACACTTTCGTGTTTTTTCGTGTGATTAATTTGTTGAGAAAGCGTAGTTAAATGATGGCCTGGTTTAATGACGAAGCGTTAATAGTGTCAATAACTTATGTACCTTTAACTTTGAGTTGAAGATCATCTGATCAGGTGAAAAACCGGAGAACGAAGTTTCATGCAAAAGAAACATTCATGTAGTTGGTACACACATAATTTATCTGTAATTACATTTACTTCGATCACAGCTTTCGTGTGGTAATCTTTTTCAGGATTAATTATCAAAATTTATTTGAAATGCAAAATTTTTCTCAATTTTCAAAAAATTGCATCACATATTAAATATGATAATTACAACAGTCCGGATTAACCTGTTTGATTACAATTTTTGGGAATTTGCATTATTTTTTTTTTTTTTTTTTTTTGTTCGAACTCAACACAAGGCCAAAAAGTAAAATAAAAAAATTAATGCACTAGGTCTTTTTTTAGAATTCTAAGGCCAAACACGAATCCAAAGTTCGAATCACTCCATCACTTCAAAATTTTTCCATGTTTTTTTACATAGAAGCTCATAATATTTAAGAAGAAGTTTTTTGACTCAATTCATGTTTAGATGTGCAAAAAACATCAAGTTTACGTTTCATTTTCATGGTATTGTGAAAAGAAATTTTTCATTTTATCTAATACAGGATAATGATTAATGAAAATTTATTTTTTATCATCTTAAACAATATTTGTCTAACGAATAATTGAATCTAGCTTTTATAAACTATTCTACGTTAAGAAAAAAAAAAATCTAAATAACCAAGTGATGTTTGTCAATTAATTACAGTGCGGATGTGCATACTATGTTTATTTATTTGGCGTGTGTACTAATTACGTTGGATCAGGTGAATTTAAGTGCATAATCTTTAGTCCAAAAATATTAGTTTGATAGTAATGCATGCAACAGTGAGTAAACACCTACAAATAAAAAAAAAATTGTTATTCGTAGTAAATAAAATTACAAACATTCTGTTACACTATACCTCATGCACGTATCATCGTTTAGTATAGAATGTCGACACCTTTCCCTTTCAAATAAACTCAATACATGCAAATTGAAATAAAATACGCAAAAAAATAATTAAAATACTCCAAGCAATACAAAACTTAATTCTATAGTGCGACCAATTATAAATTAATGCGGCAAAGACTTTGAGTAACCTTATACGATTTTATGTTTCCATTATGAAATAATAGGAAGACGTAAGATAAAAATGAACAACGAATCATCCACGAAATCGGGTTATAATGATCATACGTCGATTATAGTGCACAAATTGTTGGACGTAATTAAGAAAAAAAAAATTGGTTTTCTCTGACATTGGCAGGTTAATTTGGTTCTCGACGGTAGTAAAAACAATTAAAATTCTCAATAAAATAAGTAACTTATTAAAATTGAAATACTATAAGTAATTTTGTTTTTTTTTTTTTTTTTTTTTTTTTAGTATTACCGATCGGGTACATGATTATCAAAACCTGATAAAACATAGAAATTTTTTAAAATTCAATTCGAAGCTTCAAGTGGTTTTTAATGCGCATTCGATAATCCACGCCGTATTGTGCCATTATCACGCGCACCGCAATGGCCCACTATCACTCGACCAAACACATGTATTTTACCATCCCAAAAGCAAATAGCCGCAACAACAAATGTTTCATCGACGAAAAATGTCCGCGCCAAAAAAGAAAGGAACTCGCAAGGACTCTCCGATCTTGGCGCGAACGAAATCTCGTGAATTTCCTCCTCTCGGCGCAACTCCCCGACCGCCACTAACTGCGCCGCGCTTCCTTACTTTGTTTTGCGTACATATAGAAGTACACACACTTGCACGCCCACAACCATCAATCTATAGCCTCCGTCCCCTATTTACATGTACCTATAAGTATACCTTTGGTATTGGGTGTATACACGCCGAAGCCGTAACCCGAAGGAGTAGAGCTTACCTTTGCCGTAGAGTATGGGCACATGGTCGGTAGCCAAGCGGGTCTTGGTTTTGATGCCGACGAGCAGGGGCGAGCCTCGCCTCGTGGCCACGCACTCGGCCGGGAAGTGCTTACTCTTGAAGCACAGGGCAAACGCGCCTTCCTGAAAAAAATCGCCACCCACATCCCGTCAACCATCAAATTGCACGGGAGCATATCTCGACCCCCCCAACATCACCCAATATATTGTATGCTCACGAGCTGCTGGACGACTTGCTCGACGAGCTCCCTGAACGAGTAGTTTGGGTGCTGCACCCACAGGTGGTGGATCAATTTGGCTATGATTTCGGTGTCGGTGTCGCTCTCGAAGGCGTAGCCGCGGTGCTCCAGGAGGATCTTGATGTCCTTGTAATTGGTGAGGATACCTACGGTGAGGATAATATATAGCGACGGTGTGATACAGTCCGAGCTTATATATATATAATTGTACGCATACATTGCGATGTACTCACCATTGTGGACGACCACGAAGGAGTGCTCGACGTCGGAGCGCTGGGGATGGGAGTTGACTTTTGAGGGTACACCGTGGGTCGCCCATCGGGTGTGCGCTATGCCCACGTGGCTGCTTATGCTCGTCTCGAGCTCAAGGTTTGTCTCTAAAAAGGTTTTCCTTTTTTACATTACATTTTCTTTTTTTTTCCTACGAGTAATTTCGTTGTGAAATTCCAAAAAATTACTCGTAGGTGTATCAAAAGGTGGCCAAGGAGAAAAGGGGGGGGAAAAAAAAAAAAAAAAAAAAAAAAGAGTAATGGATATTTGAGTGGAAAGCAGATAATCCGGTTGCCGGTGACTTACGCAGAAAGATTTCCTCCTCGAGAGCCTTAACTTTTCCCTCCTTCTTGATGACGGCAATGTCCTTGCCGTTGGGCGAGTCAAGGGCAACTCCTGCGTTAAAAAACAAACCGAAAGGTGAACGATCAATTTATTCGAGGTGCGTTGCACTTTCTCCTTGTCGCGCTCGACCGGCTCTGTGGACTATTTTTAAAAACACGTTTCGCAAAAAGGGAGAGAAAAAAAAAAAAACCTCAAATGTATTCAAAGATGAAGAAATCCAGTGAAACTTTTTTGGGAAGCCATCGAAGTCTTTATTTACATATGGATGTTCTCCAAAAAAAAAAAAAAAAANAAAAAAAAAAAAAAAAAAAGCATCCAACGCAAAATATCATTAGAGTCGGAAACAGTATTCTAGTGACTCCTCGTAGTTTTCCATGGACTTGCGTTATTCTTTTTTTTTTTTTCTCCACGTATAAATACAAGTTATTGGAAAAAATTTTTTTTTTTTTTTTACCAACAACTGCAAGAATTTTAACATCAATTCTAAATTTTTTATGAAAAAAAGAGAGGACCACGTCTCGTCGATGACTTTGTCGGCTTGCAAAAAGTGATGCGCAGTACTGTGATGTTGGGTGACGCGCTTTACTATCAGGAAGCTACATCAATTAAGCGTACAAACGTGCGATTTGGATGATAAATTGTTTTGCCATTAAGAAGACCAACTTAGCCAAATTTTTCATGCGGAGTATATACAAATAAGGGCACCGGCGTTATGTTAAAAACTACGTGATCGCTGAGGTGAGATATGGACTTTAGTTGGGGGCATTTGGTTATTTTTACGAAACGACAAATCCCAACGAGGTGTGAATTTGATTTAAAAACTCCACGTGTAGATAATTAAAAGTGTATCTCTTATGCATGTACAGCTTACCCGCGGAGTCGTATCCTCTGTATTCCAAGCGCTTGAGCCCGCCAACCAGGAGCTCCAGGATCTCCTTGCGGCTCTTGGGTGTTAGATAGTTCAGATATGCGAATATTCCTGAAACAGGACACATGCATCCACCAAACATTAGTTTCCACGATAACGCCCATTCATTCAACTTTCAGCTTGGACAAGGGCAGTGACCTCGAAAAGGTATACAAAAATATCCACATGTATTTCAAATACGCGTTTATGTGTATTAATATGGGAATTGTAATTGAAAAAGCCGGGCTTGGGATGATTACGACTCGAATCTTTAACAGCAGAGACTATGGGTGCGACAACAAGGACCATCTACCCCTACGGATGCAATTATAGTGCAAGTAAATTGTTTGGTCTTTTAAAAAGACCGTGTGCGTACCACCCATGATGCGTATAGCTCGATGAACTTTTTGGTGCGGGACAGCGACTAAATTTTAAAATGCAGTAAACTAGCCTCTCTACACCTGAACATGTGACGATGTATACCACAGGCACGTTTCTAGATAAGAACATAATAGAAATAAATGTTCGTTATGTGTCAATCAGACTTTTTTTTTGTTTCCTGTCACAGTACGCACGTGATGCTTCGGGGGATTACATCAAAGCGCCTAGGGAGAGTTATTTTCCATTACGAAGCCAATCATCGTTATCGACCGGTAATACGAAAAATTGGCTCAGAGGCACTTCAAACGCGTCGGGTAGGCTAAACAAAAATTCGAGGCAATAACGAGAGTGTGAATCATTTTGCTGGAGTGCAGTCTCGATCCATCGGTACCTAATATCACGACATGGTATATATCTTTCAGTGAAATCGAATAATTCATTTTTTTTTTTTTTTTTTTTTTTTTTTTTTTTTTTTTTTTNAAAGAAAAAAAAAAGGGGAAAAAAACAGCCGCTCCCGATCTCTCGACGCATTTCACAAGATTGTATCGATCGCGTTGTTATACATACGAAACACCTACTCCACGGAGGGGCCAGGCCGGATCACCTACTCCATATTTATCATCATCAACTGGCCATTGCGAATGGGAATAACGCCGGGGGGCCAGCAGCTGTGCTCGAAAAAAAAAAAAAAAAAAAAAAAAAAAGGCGCAGAAAGTTATCCGCGTAATAAGCTCACGAAAACGAAAGAAGAAGGGGAATTGTCTGCAGGGCAAGTATAGGTACGACACAAGCAGGTTGAGCGAGCTATAAACCGAACAACTCTGTATTTTTATTCGAGGTACGAAAGTGAAAGGAGAAACCTTTTTTTTTTTTCATCGCCCAAAAACGTATGCACGTGTAACTACATATATATATATATGCGGTTGTCTAGGTAATGCTTTTAGATAATAGACACAAATTAACGTGGAAGCCAATCGTAATTCGATGAAAATAAAATGAAAAAAAAAAAAAAAAACGAATGGTCCGTGGAAGCAAATGAACTCGAAAGACAAAGCAATTAGATCACAATACGAATGATACTGACGATACCACGTCGATTAACGTATGCTGACACTTTGATTATTCATACTCTGCAGTCAGCCGTATTTTAAAAATTTTTGATAGGCTAAGTAGTATACGCGTATATATATATCGACGAAATAGCAAATATTGTGAATGTGGGCCTTTGAGAAATGAAAGGCTGGGGAGGGCGGAGCGAGGTAAGGGAAAAAGAGACTAAGGAAGAATAATGAATTGGAAGAAGTTACTTTCTCTTGGGCCGATCGTTTCAATGACGATCCGAAAATACGAGTACTTATATGTATTTTGAAAAAAGAGTTTGCTACATCGACGGCGATGTGGAAGCAAAATGATAATATCGAAGCCATTGGAACTTGGGAGAGCAAAGTTTCATTACCTTTTGGCTGTGTTGAACAAGTCATTGGTGAATTGGAAAAAAAAAAATTGAAAAAAATACTTTGAGTTGAAGGACATTTTAAAAATAAAGCTGTCGAAACGATGTACGTATATCCGTGGTATCATAGAGTTAAGTCATGAGAACGTTAATTGAATTATAGGTATATTTATTTGAAATAAAAGAGTAATCGATGATATCGAAACTTGCAAAAGATGATAACAAAGCGTCACTATAAATTCCGATGACTTTTAAAATCCTGAATTTTCGCAAGATTGTATACTCGTGTCGTATGTGTTATTCAAAGAATTTACCTGAAAATAGTTTAAAAATACCACACCAGTATAGCAAATACATGCTAAAACTCGTCGTTCAAGTGACAGTGCACCCTATAGTAATATATATTATATTCTGTATGGTATGTATATAATAATAATAATGATAATAATAATATAGATACGAACGACAAACCGTTCGCGAGTCACGAGTTGTAAGGACTCTGAGCGCAAGGGGTCATTGATCGATCTCAACCTGCACGCGACGCGGCGCCGCGGAAAAATTCAACGATTCGCCGGCGTTGTATTATAGGCGCACGTGACGTCAAAAGGCCGTTAAGATGTACTTAATGCGTGATGAGCACGAAATGCGGAATGAAACAAGTAAATTTAGTTTTTCAATGATTACAGGTGCAATGAGCACGCGAGGCACGTGTAAAAAGTACAGTGCATGGACACGCTCCAAAATGTACATTTATATCATTTGTGCGGAAAACAATTCATAGCCAATTTTACAGTTATACTCGTACCGAATCGATGATTCGATCTATCAAAGAAATTGGGTGTACATAAGCGTTTAATTACATTAAAAAAAAAAAAAAAAAAAAAAAAAAAACGATATACCTAAAATGTGGGTCCTATTAGGAGACATTGTTTTTCCTTTTTTGTAAGTATAGGTACTTGGGAGTCATTTTATCGAGAATCGAATAAAGTTGTATCGATAAGATTTAATGTTTATTTCTCATTTCCCTCTGGCGTACGGAGCAGCGTCTACTGGCTATGTATATAATATACATTATACATAAAATATTTATTACGTCGATGCAGTAAATCCGTCGCGATAGCAAAACTGCACGAGGCCAACGACAGCGGTATAGGCATGGGTTTTATTTGGCACGGCCAACTTCTCTCGGGCGCATAAATTTGTCGCGGCAAAATAAAAACGAGAAAAGGACAAGAAATGAGTATTCGAGCGCGTATGGTAAGGTAATACCTAGGCGTATATAATATCATAAGGCGCAATACCTTATACGCAGGTACAAAGAGACGACTGGGTTGGGCTGTTCGCGCACTTTCACCGTCGCCGGGTCCTAATATTATATATGTATAGGTACTAACGTATAAGCATATTTTGTCCACCCACTCGCGAAGCCGGGGCGAGAGAGTGTGCCTTTCCAATGAAAGCCCATACTGTTACCTGCCCGGGCACTACGCATTTATATCCTATATTATCGTTACAATACCCAATACGCTCTAATTATACGTGTATCACCCACTATATGCGCATACATTCGATATACCAATCAAAACAGGCTCTCGCTGTATAGCTACCTTTCTTCCTCCTCGCCCTTCTTTTGTACTACCTTTGTCTCGGTTTGTCTCTACGATTTGCATAATACGTAATTCTATATAATATACACGTCCACCCACCAACTTTGCTTTCTTTTTTTAATATCAAAACAATCGATCGGTGCACCGCCTCCGCCACCACTTCTGCATGACAACGATCAAATTCGGCCGGTAGATATATAGTTTCTTGCAACGGGCAAACTTATTTTTGTATATTTTTTTTTTTTACTTTTAAATTTTAACGTAAAAGCGCGGGCCCTTTTCAGTCGAATGCAGCAATTTTGCTCGCGAAAATGTAGGCACAGCAAAATTCGGCAGACGTCAAGCGGAAAAAGACAAAATAAATCGGAGCCGCACGTATGGGTACCGTTAACTGATAAGAAAATTGAGCATTTTCCGCAGCGCGCCACATAGTCATGTATATCATGGGTGCCCGTACAGTCTCACAGCTTCTGACGCAACTATTCCCGAAAACGAGTAATCCGAGTTGTCGGTGTAGTGGAAACAATTTGATATTTTCCAACGGAGTCGGATACGACAGCCGAGGTAGGGGAAGAAAGGGGTTCGAACGGTACCGGGTAAAGTGATGTCTATAAACACTCGTTATCTCCTCGAGAGATTAAGTTCGAAAAAATCGTAGAAAACAGTCACAATACAATATATTACGTACGACTGAAAGTGTCGATAGCTTCTTATCAGTGCTCTTTTTGTTTTTTTCCTTGTCTCCTTGTACGTACCTTTTTTTTTTTTTTTTTTTTTTTTCATCAACTTTTCTGCAGAATACGGTAAAAGTCAGTGTCAGGGCCATCTACTCAGGTGTAAAGATAAGAACGTACCTTTATACGCCTAGACAGACGTGGGCATTTCGCTTTTTATTTTTAATACTTTGTGACATTTTTTGTCTAAAAATACAATGCACTTGTAGTTTGCACGAAATTTTGTTTTTCTTTCAACATCACTCACAACACAGTCTTTTTATTAAAAAAAGGTTGTTGCAACAATGGTAAAATTGAATATTTTTAGAAAATCGAACTAATACTTTTTTTTTTTGTAAAAAACGTTACAAGTAGTGATGAAAGAAAAAAAAAATCCCAAAGAAAAAAGAGCATTACACTTCCGGAAAAAATTGTTATATCGTATCTAGTTTGAAAATCTATAAAATAACAGGACTCAAGTCTGCACGCAAGTAGAGCAACGTTGGAGTAGCCGTATGCTCGCGCGTCAATCATGAACTCAATATACCTACTGCTAAAATATTCTCATAATTTATCTGTCATTGGAGCCACGGCCACAATTTTAACGACAATAGAAATAGGTAAAAAAAGAGCAACATGTAAAGTAATGGCTATACTGCTGATTCGTGATCAAGTGAAAACGGGCTTGATGTGAATTATGAATTAACAGCGAACAATGTGATGAAAAAAAAAAGAAAATAATAGTAATAATTAAATGAAATTAAATACAAACGATGGAATTTGGGTCGGTGCATCATACATGTACACATGTGAAAAATAGGTGAGGATACTCACCGCACATATTGAATCCGTGAAGATGTGGATGAGAAAAAACAAGAGCAACGATTCCACGACAATGACAATAATGGAAAATTGCAGCGATACAGGATGCGTCAACAAAACGACAGACAGCCGAGCAGAGGGTTTCTCCGGTGACAGCCGACCAACTAGTGAAGCCGAGTACCCGCGCCGTCGAGCTTTTTATTGGCTACGCGGTGCGTGCTACGTTCTCTTTCCCCAGCTGGCGCCCGGCGCCCGTGACAGCACCTACTTTGCAAGGTATATACAGGAGCGAACCGACACCGCCACTTTTCACTCTCCTGCCGATCCTGCAGGCCGTATACTCGTACGCCCGATGCAACTACATACATATACGAATTGTATCCCTATACATGTGTGCGCGTTCACTACCACCACAACCACCACGAGTACAGGTTGACCCGACTGGCTCCCGGCCTCACTCCCCTTATGTGCGATGGGTGTCTGTGTCCAGCTACAGAGCACCACCTATCTGGCTCGGAATAATGATCCAAACACAGCTAGCCAACCAGGAGGCTGTACGCTCAGAGAGAAGACAGTCGGGAAACTCCGGGTCGCCGTTGTCTGCGTGGCAAACTGAATTGTCGGGTAGCTCGATCGCGGCTCAGCTCCGTCGACTATAGGTACCTACCTTACGCTCCGAGGGCAAGGAGAGGCGAGGCGCACGTGAGTAACTAATTTGGTCTCCGACCGAGGGCGGTCGGCACGTTGCCACTAAAGTTTCTAGTTTCAATTTCATGCGTCGGATGATTACATATTTATAATATCCTTATTTTACACGGAACTATTTTGGATATTTTTTTTCTTTTTCTGTTCGAGTGACGAGTAACCAGTCTAATTTTTCAAGGTTTTTTATAAATATTCGGTCCTCAAAATTATTATAAAAATAGTCCGCCACTTTTATTCAATGATCTCTGGTCGGGGTAACTTGGAAATACAGTTTAATAATGATAATAATAGATTATTATTATTATTTGTAATAATCGATGATTCTCTGGATCAAAGTTGATTTGGTTCCTGTAGTCGGTAGCTTGATGTCCTTAAGGGCTTCTTTCAACTCTGGCACAGTCAATGTGTGCAGCTGAAAAAAATGCAATGGTAAAGGTCGTAAAACTTCGTAAAAGGAAAGATGGAATCCAATGCAAGAAAGTGTCCATCTTACTTTTCCCAATTCAACCATAGTTTTAACATCTAACTTCTGCCTTTTGGTAGCTTTTGTTGATTTTTGCATTACAGCACGTTTTTGTGAGGCTTTATCACTTAAGCTTAGCAACTTCATTATACCCACTGATACAGTTTCCATCTCTTGGCTCATTGGTGGTGGAACTATAAAAGGTTTCATTAAATAGAAATAGTTCTAATGCAGTAGGTAAAAAAATATGAATACTCACGGGTTGAATCAGGTGGCAAAGCACTCAACTCGTCATCTAATGCTAATGCTTCTATGTGAGCAAAATATTTTTCTAGCTTTGGATTTTTAAAAACCATTGGATCAAACTTTACTTTTGTATGATCCATTAATTTTTTAAACATGTAAACTGCTTCCGGATTTGTAGGGCATTTTCTTTCATCATTAAATATATAATCACTAAGACGTTCGTCGAGATATCGAATTTTATCTGTAATAAAACGGAAATATAGATTATTCGAGTAAAACCGTTATGCATTATAAATACAAAAATATTTTAGTCGGTATAGTTTGACGTAAGTAAAATCAAACCAAATACCTTTGAAAGGCATTTTGTATACGTAGAATCCGCCATCATATTCACTAGGTATCATCATACCAATGAAAAACGTAGTATTGGTAGCTATTTTGCACATAGGCATGACCTTTTTCTTACTACACTTGTACACAAATGATCGGAAGAAAACTTTGTTCTCTACAAAAAGTTGAAAAATTGAAAAAAAATTACTAATTTGCATCAATGAACTCACAATCTATGAATGTTGTTAAACTTAAGCTAAGTTCAGAATAAATTTGCTATAAAGTGTAATATACCGTTGTTGCAGAGTGTAGAACAAGTGACAAAATTAGGTGGTTTGCAATGATACAGTGGATCGCAGGCAATGGGCTTAAAGGCCAACAATTCTATGCTTGGTTCTGTACACAAATTTTTCATTTTTTTAATTTCCTCTGGCTTGAAATAAATATTCTGTCCACAGTAAATTTTGTAATGCATAATATTTTCGTCAGTTATGATTTTCCCTCTCGTTTGTTCCTATTACAAATTAAATATTTGTTAGAATCAAATAATAAAGTATTTTGTATGGATATATTATATAAACAAATCTGTTCACCATTGTATCATCTAATGTAATGTCTTCTGACTTAACTTCCTCCAAAATTCGATGAGTTTCTAAAATTTCATTAGTATCTTTTTGAACTTTAACTTTAGATGGATACTTTGATTTTCTGGAAAAAAATATCAAAGTGTATACATGCATTTAAACAAAAACAAATGTCAGGAAGACTTACGAAATTAAATTAATCAAAGTTACTGGTACAGATATGTTGGGAGTTATTTTCCACATCAATTTACATATACTTCTAGCAGGGCTGGAGATAGTTCTTTCTAAATCTTTCAAGCTGATGGTCTTGTAGTTGTCATGATCAAAAGTTCCAGATACTAATTGCAAGTCTTTGTAAAAAACACCGTCATTCCATGAATCTCCCAATCCGACTACAAGCAATTTCGTTCGAGTATCTTTAAATGTCGCAACTAAATGCTCAATGCGTCGAAGTTCTTGATCGGATTTCACTAGAGGATGAGCATGACAAGTACAAAGCACAACGGTACTGGATGCTTTGACATTTGACTTAAAAGCATGCAAAGCTTGAAAAACGTACGACAATGCATTGAAAAGAGGATACTGATCACTAGCAGCTGAGTTGTTGAATTTGATAATTTCTTCATCGTTAACTAAAACATTAAATTTACAAGAATTGAATAACCTTACCAAGAATTTTAAAAATTGATATGACCAAATGCCTTACATATGTCACGGATTTTTTTAAGACTGTCAATTGTAACTGTTTCAAAATCTTGCAGTACCCTGACATTGTCCACTTCACAGTTTGTATCCTTAGTTCCAAAAAGGACTAGGCCCATTTTGTCTTTTTTATTGTTGCAACATTTCTGTCTAATTATATTTCTATATGTCTACAAACGTAAAAACACGAAAAATTAGTTACAACATTATAACAATGAACGTGTACCTATGCTGCTATTGTACACAACCACATTTTACAGAAATCAATTATTTTATCCAATGTAAAAAGTGTTCGACAAAAAAGTAATAATTATTATGGTTATGACATAGAGGACAAAAATCAACGAGTATTTTACCTGTAAACAAAGTAGCAGATGATTGTTTTGGTACATTTGTTCTGTTGCATCAACGAGAAAAATCGTGGAAGAGGCGGTGTTCCAGTATTTCTCGATGTCTTCCCTCGTATCGTTAAATTCATCGGATTCAAACATTTCTGAACTATTATTTGTTAGCTTTATATGATCTTAAAATTGTTGTTAGGTTAAGTTCAGACACACACTCTACGAACCGGCCGCAGAAACAAAACATATAAGTATACTACTTAATCGTCCCAGCCTGGGGTGTTATCCGAAATCGCCGCCAGCCTGCAGTTAGAGAGGTGGGATCGAGTGGGTGGGTAAACTGCGGAATCGCCGCCAATTTGTCAAATATTGAGAAAACTCACGATTCATAAAGATCCGAAGTATTTTTGCGATATCTATTATTGATAACGAGTTAGGTTGTTTTGAAAAAAAAACCCGCGGTGTCAAACGGTAAAATAGCCGCCACCTACTTAATCCAGCGGATAGAGAATGAAAAGTTGACACAAAAAAGCGACATTGGCGGAGAAATTAGACTTACAGTACTAGTGAAAAACTGACCATCAAGCTGGGGCATCCCCGTATAAACACCAAAACAGCCGTCACTGGGGTTGTTTCAAGCATCAGGTAGCGTTCGTCTGCCCATGTGAGATTTCCATAGGAGTATACCTATATATAAAATGTTTTTCAATCGGATTTCATTTAATATTATATAGGTAAACTCTTGGAAATCTTTCATGGGCACACGAGTGCCACCTGATGCTACAAATAAGCGCCTTGCGCCTTTACCAAAGGTTTTTTTTTTACAATAATAGATGCTCGCAGAGTGGCGGCAATTTTCGGCATATATGAGAGTGCTGTTTTATTAATACCCAACGCTTATCACACCCACTAACTTACGCACAAAAAAAGTAATTTAAAAACACAGGAACGGTGAAACTGTATAACCCCATATGACCCAATGAACAGGAACGACAGAATGGAATGACCCCCAATGACCCAATAAGCAGGAACGGCGGAATGTTATGACCCACAAACCCCCATAAATAGATAATCAGTGAACTCAAATGGTTATACTGCTAACTTCTGTTTATTATTGAACGACGTTTCGGCCCGTACAGAAACAAGTTTCAAGGCCCTCATCAGGTTCAAATAAAATCTACACAAGAATTACAATTAACTATTAGTATTAATAAATTACACAATAAAATTTCACTTCGGCGCTAAATTAAAACTTACAATTGACCGCTCAAACGGGTCGCGTCAGGCAACGCGCTAGATGTTATTATTGCGAATACAAATATGTAAAATTTGCAAGCGCTTAAATAGCTTAAATTGTCTATGTATTAGAATGTAAATATGTCGTCTGCTTTGTTTTGCTTACGATTACAGAAAAAGTCACGAAAAAGAGTAGAAGATCGATCGATGCCGTCTACTTTTCTACTGGTGAGATTGCGGAACACACATCACGAGTAAATTGACAGTAGGTTCGTTCAAACCCCTTTCGGTTCGGTTCGGTTCTCTTAACAAAGTATACCTATATATACATAACCAGTTCTGTTTGGTTCCCTATGTATAGATATATTTTGTTAAGAGAACCGAACCGAACCGAAAGGGGTTTGAACAAATCTATAGTAACGCTCCTAACTACGCAACGTTGTCACTTCGTACATAATAATTATGTAACTGGCTATGGCTGACGGCGATTGCGGAATACACCCCTAGTCTCAGCATTACATTATCACTTATCAACAGTCGCAGCTGTGATGATGACGAGATTCATCGATTAATGATGACATATATTATTTAACAGGTCTCAATATATTTTGATCACGAAACGTGACAATGGCAAATGACGATTCAAATAATGACTGTCATCAAACACTTCCATACCGATTAATGACAGTCAATGGTTTAAATTTTCCGCTCTCAGAAACCGTTTGTATTGTTTATGGGTTGAGTAAGAGCATATTTTCTATTTTAATGAGAACCAAAAGCTGTTCTGGCCAAATCGTAATAAAAAACAATACCTTAAGAAATTAGATGTTAATGATTTATTTTTCAATTTTCATGCATAATTAACGTAATGGGCAGAAAAGAAAATCAAATGACGAATGAATGATTTGATTTGTATAATATTTTATTAGTATATTTACACACAAGATTTCATCGAGCTCGAGTCATCTTGGTTTTACATTGATAGTGAAAGACAAACGCAGCAAGATAGAAACAAACGAATAAATGATTAATATTAATGATTTTTCACAGTTCACATTCACAATGTATCGTCAACTCGTGAACCGATACTTTTTTTACAAGCTCACGCAAATTTTTCTCTTGTGTCATCGTCGTCATAATTATTTAAAAAATTTTTTTTTGTATTCACTATTTTTTTTGCTGACGAACGAATTTCCACTTGTATCCGTATCGAGTCTTCCTCTTCGTCTTTTATACTTTTATTTACGCTCATTTACACGTTCAATATAATTACGATCCTTATACTTATGTATGCTCGATTAACAATATGCGCAGACTCTATAAGTTACAAGCCATTTGTCTAATTTGAGGCTGTCTCTGCATCGTCATATACTAATGTCAGGCAGATATCGTCGATCTCGCGCTCGCGCGACATCAACTCTCGGGGAAGAGGGCAATCCTATAACTAGGTATACTTTTTTGTTTTTATAAATCACAAAATGCACTTTCATATAATGTTTTTCGCACAAATGCACTCATGCATGTAAAAAAGCAATTCCTCGAATTTTTTTATCTTGTTTTACCAACAATGCCTTGCTGTGTCGTTATTGTGATTATTGTATTTTACATTAATGTGTAGCTTGAGCACGCGTTACTTTCAAAACAATTAATTTTCGTTGGGCAACTGTTTAGTAAGTCAAATCTAACAAAAAAATACGATTACTCCTATGTTACTGCCCTTTTTTTTTTTTTTGTAGGTCAGCCGCGCTATTTCCAATAAAAATAATGTATTACAAAGTTTAGAGTACAAATTCGAGTAATTTTTATTTCTTTACATGCAAGAACGTTATAAAAATGTACATACACCTTATAATGTTCATATTACTTTAAAGCACATGTTGTCTATAATTTTTAACAATATTCAAACGTATGAATTTATTTGCAGACAAATTTTAACTAACAATATAGACAATTCATAAATATTTTTATAGTTTCTTTGTTTAACACATTTTCTCAAATTTCTGCTCTAGGAAAAAATTAGGCTGATCAAACATTCAATTGCACAAATGTAAAAAATGCTCGATTACAAAGCAAAGACGAAAAACACGCTTTTATACAAGTTGTATTTCGACAATCTATAGTTAATCTATTGCTTTCGTAGCCAAATTTTTCGATTAACATTAACCATTCCGGTTGACTGAATTTATTAGTTGACGAAATGCTAATTTTTTTGATATTGCACTCGTTCTATGTATACTTGAAGCCACAGCAAAATATACTTCAACTACTTTCCACATGCACTTGGTCAATTTGATTGATGCAATTACTCTTTGCACGATATCTCTTAGAATAATGTTCAACGGGTTTCTAAATTAACAATAATTTACATTTACGTATTCGTGCTTCAGCACCGATTCACACAAATATTTTGAGTTCTTTTTTAAATGCCTACATGATAAAGTAAAACAGCGAAAAGAATTTTGAACGATTTACTTAATTTGCATTACGATGCAGTTCTCATTTTCATTACATATAAAGTACATTTATTATAACAAATTTACTGACATAAAAATTCCCAGCCCTACGATGGTCGACTGATTGACATTACATTTGACTATAATCGCTTGTAAAAATGTGAATCGCATGCAAACAGCAAAGTTACAATGCACATTTGATTGGTACATGGTAATACATTTATTACCATCTTTTGGGATATATGTATATTTTAACGGCAGTGGAAACATAATGCTTTAATGGTAGGCTTCACAGAGTGTTTGAATTATTACATCGTAAAACGGCGTAAGGTTGTTAATTAAATTTTTTTTTCGAATTCCCCAACGATATCGAGTTGATACGTCATTTTTATCTTCATTTCGCGATAATACAATAAAAAAATGTTTGGTTCTAACTTTTTTTTAAATTTTTATTATTATTATTATTTTTTTTTTTTCTCAATCATATCCATTAAGGGTAAGAACGATGAATGATCATTTTTGTTTTATATTAACAACTGTCAGTCTTGTCACACGTGGTCTGCATAGGAGTGAGTTACGATTTAACTTTTCCACAACATTTTGATATTAGTTTAATTATTTACACATTAATTGTCAAATAAAAGCGAGAGCCTCAAAGATATAACCGCATTCAATACACATGTGGGAGGTCTTTCTTCTTAACATGGAAGTGACTTGAGATTTTTCTTCGTTGTCAATTTTTTTCAATTACGCGAGCGCAGCAACCGTGGTACATGTTTTCCGATTTTTTTATTGCCAAACCTTGTAAGTCTTTGGCTCCGAAAAAAATTGAGTTTCATTAAAATTTACAATACAAAGGGATAAAATGAGCTTATTCTTAAATTCGTTTTGACAAATATGTAAAATTTTAAGGTATTTACACACACGTAGGCGCATACACTCACTCACGTATATAGCTTAAAAAAATTTCGTTACATGTGTAAAATGTATGCAGCACAAGCCATGAAACAGATCACGGTATATACACGTAAACAAAACTTTTTTTTTTTTCCACAAAACAGAGCAATATGAAAAGGGGACGACGATAATAAGTCTAAAAATACGTTTAGCGTTAGAATTTAAAATAAAAAGACTGCACAATTAAAAATAAAAATAAAAATAATAATAATAATAATAATGGAAGCACGAAGCTCCCACAAACTGCTAAAAAATCTAAAAACTGTGTGTATGTGACATGATGCGTAACAAGCTTGAACGCCTGGATCGACGACACTGTTATATACCACACAGTTGAGTTCACTTGTGCTAATCGCAACATAACTTACGTATATCCGCCATAGCATCATTGATTAAGTCTGTGTCCTTAGAAACACGACATGCATAAAATTAGATACAGTGCTGGCAGTATAGCCATGCTCAAAAGCATAACAAAATATTTATNCCAATCGATCCACCCGCGACGTCTTCGAGTTCCCAAGGGACGGCAGCACCTGAAACGCAGAGGTGGAAAATAAAACACTCGTGTCACTTTATGTTCACGTGAAATTGGATTTCACGGCTGGGGCTGAGCCAAACATAATAATAAGAATAATGTCTAAAATAGTATTTAAAAAAAAACTAACATTAGACGGCGCTACATTCTCAATCATTAGAGATCCAAGTAAGACAGTGGTAGTTTAATATCACAATAAGACTACTCAGGCCTCGCAAAAAACGGGGTCACGCCGATCGGGAGGACAATCTGCGTTATCTTTATCTCACGACACATCAGTTTTTGGAGCCATCGAAGAAAAAAAAAAAAAACTGATGCTTTCGATATTTTTACTTTCACTATTGACGCGTTAAACTTTTGGCGTTTCGTGCATGGTTTTTCTCTCGATTCCCATACCGCTCGGCTTCCTCGTCGAGAGAGCGATAAGTCGTTGTCGATCGTTCAACGCGTTTGAGGCAGATGATTTCGAATGACGTTGATCGACGACAATAAATAACATTTATAAAATTTAAAATTACACAGCAGACTTGGCTACATGGTATAGGTCGTGAAAACGAAGGACGATTTTCCATTTACTATTAATCGTTAAACTCCAGTCGATGCGTAATTAGCCTAGATATACGAGCCTTACACTTTTTTTGTCATTACGCCCCTTTTATTTTCGTTGGGTCATGGCTAAACGTTATTTCGATTCGATGCGACAATAGCCAGCCATTTCTTTCCAAAGCTTATCCTCCAGAGTATAATGTAACAAATTATCAGCTGATCCGCAGCTTTGATTCATTTCATTGAGTATTATCACGGGATTCATCTCAATTTGGCCGATTCAAAAATTATTGTCGGTACAAGATCTCGTAGAAAAAGAAAATAAAAATCATTACGCCGCTCAGTTGGATGATGAAAAAAAAAAAAAAAAAAGTTACCCAATATATTATAGTGTACTTTGCGCACCTCGGTATCTCTTGTTTCCAGTGATGATCAAAAATACCAAAATTTCTTTACCCCCTGCGCAAGCAGTTCATCTCTGAAACAGCGCCCCGAGCAAGTACATCATTTGTCTCCCCTCGGCAGCTTAACTGCGCGCGACTCAACGATCCAAAGAAAGAACAAAATCCAAAGGGCTCAGAGACGACGGTCGTGGCTCGCGTGTCGCTTTAGAAATGGCTAGCTCGCACCCGGCTTCAAGACAAGATGTGCGGCAGGAAGGTCCCCGAGTCGTCGAGGCTGGGATCGAGGCTCGTGACGATGTCCCCGGTGGAGGCGTGCCTCGAACTCGCGGTCTGGCCCCCGGCCGTGAGGGCGTGGCTGCTCGCACTACCGTTGAGCTTGTTCTTGACGACGAGGGACGCGCCACCGTCCGGGGCGTCGATGCCCGTGATCTTGGAGATGCACTTGCGGCCCCGGTACAGCTGCTGGTACTGCTGCAGCAGCGCGTACTGCTGCTGGGGATCTTCCATCGTCTCGGCACGCCGGCGCGCGTTGCTCGACGCTACGCTCTGTACAACGCCGACGGTCGCCGATACGCTTGTCGCTCCGCAGCTCAGGCCGGTTTGGCCGTGCACCGGCTGGCTAGACTCTACGACGCCACCACTGCTCAGGACCAAGCTACCGGTCATCGAGGAAGCCATCGTCGACGACGAGGACGACAGGTGCGACGAGGACGAGGAGGTCAGCCACTCGTGACGCATCGCTTCTTCCGGAGTCATGCGTTTTTTCGAGTCCCACCTAAAAATTGACAAATCATTTCGTTCAAGTACAACTTGCACAATAATTATCTGTCATCTCGTCGTTGGAGGAAAAGTAAACTTACTCAAGGCACCGGCTAACGAAATCGACGAACAGGGGGTCCCGACACCTAAGGGCCAGCATGACACTTTTGGTTCCAGGCCTCCTCTTCTTACCCTTGCTGTTGGTTATGTTGCGAGGATTACCCTTGGAGTCTGCGGACAAATTGGTACATGTCAACGGATGCCATGATTGTACCAACGAAACAACGAGAGTCAAAACTTTACTCACCAAAAAAGAGCCTGCGACGCGTGGCGTGAATGATGAGCTGATCTGGGGGCTTGCCCAGCACCTCCATGATACAGGCCAGCTGTTCGACCTCGTTTTCACCGGGGAACAGCGGGTAGCCGGTGTAAAGTTCGGCGAGAATGCAGCCCAAACTCCACATGTCGATCGGCGTGCCGTAGGGCAGTCCGAGGATAACCTCGGGACTCCGGTAAAACCTTGATTGGATGTACGTGTAGACGCGCTGGTGACTGTAGCATGACGAGCCAAAGTCTATCACTTTGATCGAGCTGCTGCCGCGTTGCTTCAGTAAAACGTTTTCCTAGACAAAGATAATTATATAAATGAACTGGACTCCACTCGGTTATAATTTATAATTTAATTAATAAGGTAAGTACAGGTATGGTATAATACGAATACGTACGGGTTTCAAGTCGCAGTGAATGATGTTTTCTCGGTGAAGTAGCCTAAGACAATTGACCAGTGAATTGGCGAACCTTCGAATGAGGCTTAAACTAAAGCCTTGGTAATTGTTCTTTTTAATGAGCTCGTACAGATTCAAGCTGGAAAATCAAGGTTAATTCGTCAATTAGTGAAAAAAAAATGATCGATCCATCAAAATGGGTTGTCGTAAAATAAAGAAAAAAAAGTCAGCCTCGTACCTCATCAGCTCGAAACTAATGCACAGATGATTCCGGAAGTAAAAGTACTCTAGCATGTGTATCACATTGTGGGAAGAACTAGCATCGACATCCTTTTTCCTCAGATGATCCAAGATTTTGACTTCGACTAGGGCCTGGTGATGGAATCTCTTTTTGTTCCTAATAAAATCACAAAAATATCCGCCGTTTTTACTTTGGTCCATACTTATGGATCTACCACTCACTCGTATGACAATTAAACAAAAACAAACCTTATGATCTTGATGGCAATGTGCTGGCCGGTCTTGTGATCCAGCGCCCTGATCACCTGGCCGAAACTGCCTTTGCCAATGACTTCCAGGATTTCATATCTATCGAACAAAAATAAAGGGAAAACAAACGTAAGACTCCGATGGATTCGTAAAATAAGTACGAAGGCAATGGATAATTAAAAGTAAGCGAAACTCCGCTCTACCTGTAGGAGATGTGGTCGTGGAGGACCTTGTTGTAACTGCCGTTGTCGTCGTCGTAGCCGCCGTTCTGGGAGGCACCCTCTTCCCCGTGTATCTTACATGCCGACAGGCCGAGGTACCAGATCTCCGAGTACTTTTCGATCTCGGCTCTTTCGAATTCCGTGAGCTTGGAGCCGTAGTACTTGGTCGCTTGTTCAGGAGTCATTGGTAATCGTATACCTGTATTTTTACAGGTGGAAAGAGAAAGCAATTTTTGTAGAATCGCTCCAGATTGTGAAATGAAAGGAAAAAAAAAAAAAAAAAATTATATCCTTCTGGATATGCAAACGTACCACATCCATCGGTGTGCGAATTGCTGTTGAAGGGGTCGTGGTGTAGGGGCAGGTGGATGTTGTTCGCGTTCGTGTTGTTGGCGTTATTGTTGTCCAATCGATCCACCCGCGACGTCTTCGAGTTCCCAAGGGACGGCAGCACCTGAAACGCAGAGGTGGAAAATAAAACACTCGTGTCACTTTATGTTCACGTGAAATTGGATTTCACGGCTGGGGCTGAGCCAAACAGAAAAAAAAAACTAAACGGCCTATATACACGTGTGGGGAATGTGTAGGTATATGGGGTCTGGAAAAAAATATCAACCTACGATAAAAATAACAGAGTCGCCTTTTTTTTCTATATCAAATACGCCCACGCGAGCTTCGATCCGCCCGTGTACAAAGCCAACATCTTAATCTTATTTAATGGCTACACAGAAGCAACTTTATGGGGTGGAATTTGAAAAGAAAAAAAAAAATATACATTTAATTTGGAATATTTTCACGCAATGTTGTTTCTTTTTCGTATTTTTTCAACCACTTCATATATTTCAGATGCATCAGATGTTCGTTTATTGCCGTGTTTGTGTATTAATTTTGTTTAGGTACCCGAAAACAAAAACAAAAAAACAGCTGGACTCGAAAATTTGTGACGAGCGCAACGCGCCGAGTCCCATGCCGATATTTTTTTTTGTAGAACGAGTTTCCGATAAACGAATTTCAATTTCCAATTCCCGTTCATTTCACGCGATATATAAATATGTATTTCCCTCCAACACACATATTATATAGCCTATGGCTTTTAGCCCAACTGACGAAACTTGTGTCGATTAAAGCATACCCATTCCCATTTACACCAACTGCTGTATATATAATTATACGCTCCGCCCAACGAAAATCTAAAACAAGTGTTGTTCAGTGTTTGACCTTGGCATTGTGTTTGGAGCATCGCGCGACAATGACAGTTAGGTTAAAGGTATACGGAACGAAAGAAGGAAAAAAGTAAGATGCTCACCCGGTGTATCTTTGGATGGGGGCCTTGAGAGAATTCCGGCGAAACTGAATCGGAAAAAATGTTGACGGGTATGAATTTGCACATGTCAAGCTCCACACCGGCAACGCGAGTCTCGAAAGAAAAAAAAAAAAAGAAAAAGGAAAAAGTAAAAGGAAATAAAGACCAGCGCGCACGCGAGCACACACAGCGCCCGCGGGAGAATAATTTTCAACTTTCGTCGTATATATAATGTGTTCACCCAAACAGTAAAAGCCCACCTCGCGCATGGGAGCCGTAATTTCACATTTTCCATCGCAACGTTGAGCTTGTGCCAATGTGTAAGCGTTGTAGTTTTTTTTTTTTTTTTTTTTCTTTTCCCACAACAACCTCGACCCCATTTGTTTGTTTGCCCGCAACTTATTATTTGATCCCCGATGGTCGAAGAAAAAAGCCTCCGAACGATGTTATCGGCTCAACCAATAATTAGTACACAGCCTCACAAGCATCGACCGGCAACAAAATATTCGTGCAAGTTCTCGGCCCGGTGGCTTGATTTGATTACGTAAGCCGATCGCGCAGGTATAAACGCACATAAACCACCTGACGCTCCTCTTATACACTTATATTAATTTGTGCGTGACTTCCGCAGTTTATTCCCAAAGTTCAGGGAAGCATTTGTTTTGGCTGCGAAGCGAGTATGATCGGACTGGTAAGGTGTAGAGTATCGGACATGTGGTAAAAATTTTGCCATCGTTGCAAGCACATCAACATTCCGGGGCATGTCGCAACGAGGGGCGCAACCGCGTGGTTTGTTAAACAGGAAATGATTATTTATTTTACACGTATAGGTTTTTTGTGGACGCGTCGGCCGTAATGGAAAATGGACCGTAACCCGTAGCCGCGATGCAGCGAAAACGAAGGAAGGAAGAGGTAAATTTCAGGAATCAATAACAATAAACCTAAATAACTCCTGACTCGCCTACCCGCGCATGGGTAGCCTATAGGCATACATAGGTACATGCATATGCAGCGCTAAAATCGAGACACAAATACCTTTCGCGTAACTATAATAATCCACTGTTACTATTAACAGTTGCAGCACGTGCAATTACATACGTACACGCAAGTATACGTGTCCTTGCGGCCTAACAAGTGTCATTGTGTTCATCTGGTACAGGCATATTACACGGTACCGCAACCATGCCCATTAGAGGCCGTGTATAATATATATACATATCTCATCATCAGCTGCGTATGAAGTAAGTATAGGTATGGCTATATATTTATACTTGTGGCATCTTTCCTGCATACTATGGCAGCCGCATCAGCCGCAATGGCGCAAATACATGGGGGACCGTCTATTGCATATACAGTTGCGTACACCTATGCGCGACGCAAGCATTGTTCGTCCGAGTTTCGAACCGAACGGGCAGTCATAATAGTAATCATAAAAATTATGTAGTGCCTTTTACATGTTTTTTTTTTTTAATGTGCCATTCATATCCGAACGATTCAATCGTGCCTCGGTTGAATCTAAAAACAAAACAAAAAATTGTGTATTTGTGTACATATACATACATACCTGTTGCAAAACAATCTTCGCCTACTCGCGCAACGGTACACGAAAGAACCGCTACTAATTGACGAATCCCGTGGCACTACATGATCAATATATTCATACAATCTAACGCGTTGCTTTCTACTGTCGCGTTTGGGCGGGGAAAGATACCAAAACAAATTTTGCAACATCATATTAAGTAGTTGGTACAAGCCAGTGTATATATTTGTATCACTAAAAAATGCCTCGTATACCTGTACGAAGGAATCCGTTGGAATCGAGGTCGACGCAATATGTTTCGTATTCCATAGACATAGACCGGGCTCAAACAGTGATGAACCGGGAAAAATTATTCGCACCCGATTTTTTTGTGCTTTCTTGTTCAAAATATACTAATGTACCTAAAAGTTCAAAAATGTGGTCAGGTATTGTTTAAACAATTTTTTACTCGAAAACAGTGGTTTTTCGAGGGATCGATTTTGCGTGGGTGATCGATATAGATCACAGCCAAAATATCAGAGGCATGGGTACGGTGATCAATGGTGGGTGGACGTTAAGTAATTGATCGCTCCAGCCTGTATATATATAATGGCGCTCTCTTTCCCCGGGGAGGTGTCGACTCACCGAGGTGGCATCATATTGACCTATCATCTCGCTACACGTTAATCTGACGCACCGTGAAATCCAAGACGAAATTTTGCAATTTTTCCTCTCAACGTAAGTATTTTTTGTTCACACCGATAGTATAAAAAAAAAGTAGTTTCCAATGTGCTTTTAATGGGGCGCGTACTTTTTGTTTCCCCCCTGCCAACTAACGGTAAAAAGGTACATTACGGCATGAGAAAGAAAAATGATGGAACTCGGATAAGCAGCAGCATTTGTGTGTATCCCTGCGCGTAAAGCGTCGTTGTACTCTGCTAATACTGTTATCTGGTACTTACTTGGGCCGGGGACAAAAATCTCGGGGCATTTAGATGCGTGTAATATATTTATATATATGTCTGCAGATCGCGCGAGAGACTGCGTTGGGAAAGCGCGTAAAAGCATCCGACGTCCGCCGCGTCTCTCCCTATATATATACCTAAAGGTAAAGACTAATAATTAAACGCGCGGGAGAAAGGAAGAATAAGTATCCTGCAATTGCAACGGTAACATATAAAGGACGGGGGAGGGGGTGGCCGTGCACACCGAGCTACTGTGCTGCTGGCGACAATGCCGAGAATTCGTTCCCCGCGTGGACGCGGGATCCCAAAGTACTTATGCTGATGCTTCTTATACTTTTCTCCATAGATTTGCCTCTACTTACTATGCATCTATACTTGGGTATATACGTATTCAATTTACTGGAATCGCAATAGGTGCCCATTTTGAGTTCCCGTAACCCATATAACGTACGAGCCGCGGTTGCTTGGGGATATAATATATATATATATGCACACCGAGTGCAGGATGTAATATGCAAAGTGCACAATGCCAAGGAGGCTGGGATCAAAGCCAATAACGGTCCCTATGTAAAGTGAGAGTACCCAAAGGCCAGCGATTCATTTGTATCTCGATATCCCTTGCGCATTTCTCTCAACTCCGAGAAATCTTAAGTATGACGTCTTTCAAGAGGAGAGAACATTAAAACGTCCCCGTCGCGCATTTTCAATAAAATTTTCTCTTTTTTTTTCTTTCTTCATTCCCCCCTTAAGAAGTGTATAAGGTAAGTGAATTACACGCGAGCGAGCGAGCATTGGCCCGATGGCCCCTATACGCGCGCGCACAAGCTCGGTTTACAAGGAAAAAAAAAAAAAAAAAAAAAAAAAAGAGTCGACGAGTCGTGGCCATTAATTTCAATTGGGGCCCATCGACGCGAACGAATCGGCCCGTCTGCCACCGACTGCTCAATGTAACGACTGCGGCCCCAAGTCGAGTCGTCAATTAGCTCCGAGTCTTTTCTCCTATTCTTTATCATCGCCATGATCATCGTGGATGTACAAAAAAGCAAAAGTGATAATGACCTTTCGCAATGGAAATATCCCAGCGTATATGGATGTGCCAATACTTGATTGAAACTCGTGTGACATGTGGGTAGGTACCGGTGCTTTTGGTGTACGTATATTTATATTGGTACATCTAACCCGAGATTCCGACGAGTCACTTGATTGTTTAGCGCGAGAAAAGGAATTGACGCGCCGATCGGAGCCCGCGTTATATTATATACACGGGAATAAAACAAACGCGCTTGATCGATTACTCGGCTGGCTCCGGACGGACGCGCGTACACGAGCGTATTTCTTTAAAATAACCTTTGATGAAAAATTCATCGGCCTTTCGTGCATATAGTTACTATCTCGAACAGCGATCTATCAATCACCGGAGTAGGTGAAAGAGGACCGTCATGGCTGATCATCGAAATATATACATACCGTCTCGTAGCCAAATCAGCTACGCGAGAAAAAAAACATGTTATATATTTTCTTTTGGTTGCCATGTGTATGACTAGTGAGTATATCATCTGCAGTTCGACCCAAGGTGTCCGCGGAGAGATGGCTTCATTAGCCGCAGCTAAACCGTACGGGTATAGGCTCGAGGGGGAAAAAAGGCTTTCTCTCTCTCTCTCTCTCTC